AACAGAATAATGTTACACTACTCATCTAAGATTAGTGTGATGTCAAGGAAAATGGCCACCATGTGAATATGGGCTGTGTCCAAAATTATCCACTCATCAGTAACCCCTATTTTACTACATAGGGTCTTCTATTTAGAGGACTATAGAGTGATGTTATCGTCAGCCGGTGGAAAATTTGACGGTAAATTTTAAATGTTAATCCAACATTTAGTATTAATACTTTATGGTAAAAAGCATGTAAAACTACCGTCTTTAAAAAGGTAGAAATAAACTGTTTTGCCTCAGTTTGTGTTAAGATGCGCTGCTGTGCTCTTATTTATACAACAGTTCGGGCTGTTCCTGCTGCCCTCTCTCTCCTCTCTGCCACAAGCGCAATGCATGATGGTATATTGCTCAGTTAGTGACCATGGGTTGAACATTACTTTTCATGATGCATTGTGGGAAACAATGAGTGCACTATATAGGGTATAAAAAAATCCCTAAACATTCAGACAGCTCTACAAAATGGCAAACTCACAATAAAGTGATTAGTGAGTCATTTTGGACACAGCCATGGTCTCTAGTGGCTTTTCTATCTTTTCAACAGTCTCAACTGAAGCACTGACACAATCACAGACTTATTGGCACTACACGTTTCTTCCCCCAAAAGTACAGAACAAATGAGACAGGACATAACAGTTATGTGCTTATTGGGGAGAGTAAATGATAGGAATATTATACATGGAGCAGACAGCTATTCAGCAACAGTTGAGATTTTTTAAATAAAGTACATTTTGATAAAACAACTGCTCACCACTCAGCAAAGATCTGAGAGAACTCCAGGGAGCTGTTGGCGACGGGTGAGATGAAGTAGAAGGGTGTTGTGCCGAGGCTGGCACTCTCGATGAACTGGTACAGACACTCCAGCAGGTCGTATATCACTCCTGAGGAGTAGCACGGAACCAGCACGTTGCCTCCAGCACGAATAGTCATGGCTACAGGTGAAAGACAAATAATGAAAAAAGACAAAAATACAATGTCATTCCTCAATAAATCAAACAATGTTTTAGGGAGAGACTGTTTTTATCATATATTTTCACTTTACAGCATGAAAATATCAAACATCTGTATTTAAACATCTACCCACTTAATAAACTGACAGAGATCTACTTAATACAAATAAATATACCCAGGTTACTACAGAATTCCCCCAGCATGCCGTCTGGGTTGGCGGTGGGCATCTGGGTTAGGCCCGTCAGAATCAAAACATCACTGTTCTTCAAGGAGCTTTGGTCCATCGGCTAGGAGAAGAGAGGAGATACTTATATTAATCAGAATAATTAAAACTGTCCAATAAGATCATCATAGCTCTACACACATCTTTATATGGCTAATAGAATCTCTTTCCCAACCTCACTGGAACAAAGGCCTTTGTTTATTCTTAACCTTCTATTGAAATGTATTCTCCTTCGACAGCCACGTTTTAAAATGACCCCATGCGTAATTTCATCCTGTTATATTCCTGTTGACCTACCTGTGGATGTGTGGTGAGGAGGGATGAACCCGACACGTAGGACACTTTCTCATGATGAGACTGAATGATCCAGTTAGAGCTGCCCAACGAGTAACCAGAACTTAAGGGGGATACCTGAACAGCTCCAAACAGCTCCTGGAGAGAAACGTTATCACTATGTCAACACAATAATACAGAAGGAGGACAGATACAGCTATTTGGTAGCATTAACAAGCATAATTCTGCACAAAAAATTATTTAACTGAGTGGATGGTTCTTAAAGGTATCTTTGGCCAATAAATAAAACAGATCCTTCGAACCTCACAAGGTCTCTAAACTTAAATTCCGAGCAATTTACCAAAAGCTCTGTGTGTGTGTGTGTGTGTGTGTGTGTGTGTGTGTGGTAGCTGCCTGCAGGTGGGTGCGGGTGAGAGAGACAGACAGACAGCATGGCAAGGGGTGCTATGTTAAAGATCTTTTATGTTATTAAGAGGAGTATGAATTCATTAATGGGAGAAACAGACTATATTATCCAGATTAATGTTTGGAAATAGAATGAGAAGGTCAAAGGATGTTCTTACCACTTTCTGTGAATAACCCACAAGCTGCACTTTACTGAGGGCCGAGTTCACCTCCTGCATACTGTAGCATCGCTTCCATGTCCAAACATCCACAGCATCCTTCAGAGGACCAGGGAGCATCCTAATACAACACAAAAAACTGTTTAATTTGTAATAAATTTAAATTATTTTGTATCAAGTTAAGAGCATCTGCCAAACGATTCATCAGTATGTTTTTTTAAATACATTGTCATTCTTTTTTATATGAATTCTTTATCTGTATTTAACAGTATACCCACCTTTGTAATTCCTTATTTTTCCAGCAGGTGGCAGACTGGGCTTTGGGAACTCTTTCCATGAAGTTCACTAACTCTTCCATCAGGAGTCTGAGGGAAGAACAAGAAGAAGCAGCTTTTCTTAAATGTTTGTCTTATGGATCAAGATATGACATCAATAAAGATCCCAAGCATGAATACATTATTATTCAAACTCATTTGAGTAAACAGTACACAAAACATAGACTTGTGAATATGTGTCCTTGCCTGCCAATCTGCAGAGTGGGCTCTGTGGCATACACTGTTCCCGTGAAGCCTGTGTGTTCAGTGATGTAGGGCAGCGCCATCATACAGTGATAGTTGGAGATTAGGATGACATCAATATTAGATAGATCCAGCAGTTCTCTCTGTGGTTGATAAAAAAATCAATTAATTTAGATTAAATACATATATCAAGGATAATATTTGTTCTAATTCATAATAGCAGCTCAGTCAATATTATAGATGATGTTATTGATCATATCATTACTGTGTAAAATCAGTGATGAACTAAATGTGGGTCTAGTCTTTATTTGATCTTTTGTCACATTATTCCTTCCTGCAAACAAATTATACATTTAAATTTATCATTTCTATCATGTGAAGTGGCTGAGTTTCCGACCTCAGGGAGACAGAACTCAGGCTGAGAATCCACAAACACCCGCTTTGCACATTCCTTCAGCTCCTGTACACATGGAAGGAAGTAGTTTGTTTACTTTTGTGTGACATCATTGTGGACAGTTCTTAATACGTCAACACTTGACAGCAATAGAGATATACAGAAACTACTTAAGATGACCTCACACGCAGATATAGTGTAATTCTGCTCGTACCTTCTCCAAGTTTACGTTTCCATCCTTGGAGACCCAGCCCGGCAGCTTGGAGAGTCTCGGGCTAAGAAAGACAAAAGCATTTTGTATACAGCACAAAAGTGAGAGAATAAAGAAAAGAACAGAAGTTTACCACCTGTACCTGACTGTGACTACAGGGACTCACCTGTGCACCAGAGGAAGGGGCAGGAAGTTGAGGACAGAGGTGGTGTCCAGCCCGCAGTCCAGCATGATGGTGGTGGATTTGAACTTGAGGACATTGCAGGGCAACGTGGGGTGACCTGACAGACAGTACTGCAGGAGGGGGGACAAAACACGTGATGAAAACAATCTCGATGTACCAACAGCAGCATGCACGTTTGTAGAAGCAGGAAGACTCATGAAAGTACAGAGGGAGAGCATGTGTGTGTATGTGTGTGTGTGTGTGTGTCTATGGTCTCATAATAAAGATGAACCAGGTATCTCTAATAACTGCGTACATAGCTTACACAGTTAACTGTTAGCTGCCTTGCTAACCCAGAGAAATAGACAGCGAGGTTTTAGCGCCTTAAACGATTTTCTAACTGTCTTTTATCGACAAACACTGTTTGTCTCTGTTTAATATTTGACTGTGATCATTACTGTTGCCATGTTTACTCACCAATTTCATTTTTTATCACAAATTGCGGCTGATGGATGAGTTTAGAGACTGCTCTGCCCACACGGCATCCTTCCACACTGGTTCCCCTGCCTCCGCTTTGTTTATGTGACGTTCGCACGATGCCGCCCCCTTGCAGCATGGAGTGTAACTTCAGGCACTCGCCACCGCAAAGCAAACGGTGAGAGCAGCGTCCAGGAGAAGAGCAGTTTAAATCAGAGAGGATGAAAACACAATCGGATCTATGCAGGATCATGCAGTGAGGAGCTGGAGGGCTACAGAGGCATGTAGTGTCAATGCAACTGAAAAACTGAGACACTTTAAAGCTCCAGTGTGTACGATTTAGGTGAAAGGGATCTATTGGCAGAAATTTAATGTAGAATAATCCTCATGATGTTTTCACTAGTTCGTTTCATCTAAATTGTATGAATTGTAGTTTTCTTTACCCCAGAAAAGGTCCTTTATATTTAAATACTTTATATTTACATCGAGGGGACTCTCTCTACAGAGGCCGCCATGTTTTTTACATTATTCCAGACTGGACATGAACAAGCTTTTACGACAACTGAAGCTACCACAGGTTCTTTTCTCATGTTTGGAAGGAGAGGGTGAGGTGAGGGGTGTTCAGCTGCAACCTCAACACTAGATATCACAACATTCTACACACTGAACCTTTAAAGGCAAAGTTGGCAACTTTTTCATTATGGCACTTACAGTATAACTTGCTCATATTAACATAATATAATATTATTATCAAGAAACTCTTCAGAGGTGACACAGATATTTTACCGCACTCGTGTCCATGGTGACCCCCCACTGTCTGCATGCCAAGTTTCAAAAGGTTTTACTGTAGAATTCTTAAGAAAACTAAAAGCTAAACTGGTAGCGTTTTCATTCCAGCACTCAAAACATGCTGATTTTAATATTATTATAAAGAAATTCCTCAGAGGTGACACAGATATTTCACCACACTTGTCCATGGTGACCTCCCACTGTCTGCATGCCAAGTTTCAGAAAGTCTTACTCTAGAATTACTGAGGAATCATAAACATATGAACATTTTAACAAAGAAGTGACATCACATTTCCAATCATTCATTCCCAAGCCGAGCGGCTGTTACCGTAACGCCTGAAGCAAACGCGCATCACAGTTCAAGGTCCCGCTGGTGTGAGCGGGGAGCGAGTGGACGACAGACCGCTGCTGCGTGTTTACTCCATTCACTGCTCTGAGTTAGCCACCCCCTATGCTAAGTAGCTAACAGCAACACTAACAACCTGTCAAACCCCTCCCAGGTGTTTATACCCACAAAGTCATTTCACGTACGTGGTCATGTTGTGAAACGGATGCATTAACACTGGCAGCCGACGCTCTCCTGTCTCTCTGGTAGGTTGTTGTTGAATAGTTGCTGTGGCTAACCAGAGGATACCCAGTTAGCTAGCTCGCCTCTGACACGACCGAGGTCGATGTTTTCTCATGGAGGATTGGTACAGTTGTTAGTCAAGAGGATTTACAAGAGGGCGAGTGCAGGTAGGAGCTGAGAGCACACGTTTCCTGTCGCTGACAACACAGAGGTTAGCCATAGCCTCCACTGTTAGCAGTGCTGTGGTGTGTGGTGCTAACAGTTCAAACAGCTCAAAAACTACTAACAACTGAACAACACACGACATTGATTCATCACCTGTAAGTCACGTGTCACATTCATGGAATCAAATCAATCATGTGTAGTCGAAAAGAGCCCTGATGACTTTATTTACTGTTTAATTCATATCATATTAATATCAATGTGTGAGTATGATGGGTAGTTTATTTATATAGTTATAATCTGATTTTTAATCCACTGTAAAGTGTCTTTGATCGTTGTTAAAAGCACTAGACTAATAACAATTATTCTTTTTCTTGATTGACTGTATCTTCTGATGGTTAAATGTGTCATCAGATTCTTTTTTTTGTCAAGTCACATAACCTCCAGGAGGACTGTCCTAATAGTAGCTTCCTGTCCAGGCTGGTATTAAAGTCTCCTGTGTGTACTTGACAGATCAGTGGGGGTTCACGCTCAGTTACGTCACCATGGGGAACACCTGCAGTAACAATCTGGGAATCCCTCCAGCCAAGGGCCCCAATACTGTGGGATGCACGGACTTCATGATGGACCACACAGCACAGGTAGATGTTGAGCCACACATCTGTTCCTCTGTCGCTTATCTTTTCTTCATACACAATTTCACATTCCTCAGGGCCGTCTGAGGACGAGGGCTATTAGGGAATGATCTCACTGAGGATTTCCCTCTGGCAAATTCCTGATCCTCTATTAAAACGCTCTTTTTTTATTAGTGCTTTCACAAGACTTAAGGTCTTAAGTCTTGTGCTTTTAATTCAGCTCTGCTCCTACTGACTGTTTGAATCCTTTTATAATCGTTATTTTTTTACTCTTTCTCTTCTGTATCTGCGTGTGAGGTCGTCTTAACAATTTTATTCTTATATATGTGCTCTGTGTGACTTTCAAATTGCCTATATTTGTTTTCAATTGTGTGCCCTCAATTCTGGATTTTTAACTTGTAAAGCACATTGTGTTGTGAAAGGTGTCATTTAAGTTAACTGTATAATATTATTATTGTTATTATTATTGGTAGTAGTAGTATATGGAAAATAAGATAAGGAAGGGATGAATCAGGGATGAGAGGTGATCACTTGGAAGTCATGACCTGTAAAAGCTGGACAAACTCATTTAGACGTGGTGAATAATAATAATAGTGAAACAATGATAAACTTTATTTGTATAGTGCCTTTCAAAACCCAGTTACAAAGTACTTTACAAGTAAAAAATAAAGGCAAGCAATCTGAAAAAAATATAAGCAATTTGAAGTTCATTAAGCATTAGAGCAAAACTACAAAAATAAAATAATAACTATATACTGTAATGTAGATTGCCAGTGAAGTTCACCAGTGTTTAAAGCCAGGTGGCAAGGTGACCTCTGTAATGACAATCAACTCCTTTATGAAATGTACTAGTCACTTTTGAAGCAGTTCAACAGTGACAAGAGTTAGAAAGTTCACAGAAACAACTTCTGTTCACAAAAAACATTAATACATGTTGTGTGAACAAGATAATAATCAATAATAATAAATAAATAATAAAACTGTAATTGATTGATTGTGTTTATGGATCTTCCATTTCTGTCTCTCCAACAGGGCACCTTCTTCCGGCTCTACTATCCCTGTCAAGAGACTGAGAAGGCTGAAAAACCAGACTGGGTCCCGTGCAGGGAGTATTTTAACGGCCTGGCAGACTTCATGAAGATCAACAGAACACTCAGTGAAAGGATTTTCAACTACCTCTTTGGTAAAGAAACATCAATTATTACAATGTAGAACATTTCAAATGTGTTTCATACAAGTGCATGTTGTATTTGCTCATTAATAACAAATGTAATATGCTTGTATTATAAATATAAAGTATTTTCACAACTACTAAGCAGATGTTTCCCTTCATTTATCTTCAGTTAGAAAATCAGCTTCGAAACTTGTTTTCATCAGATTTTTGTCAAAGTTCTGCCAAGTAATTTTGCAAATACTTTTTTTTAGAAAACTAGTTTGTCCTGTTAAACACATTGCCAAGCAGCAACAGTGTAACTTAACTTGCTCTATGAAGCTTGTGTTTTTATCATTTGTTTGTTTCAGGCTCCTTTAAGATCCCAGCTTACTTGGATGCTCCATTCAAGTCAAATGGAAAATGTCCTGTCGTGATCTTCTCACATGGCCTGGGAGCCTTCAGGTGCACTATATGTTTTTTTTGACTCTGCTCCAGTAATTTACTGCTCACTTGTCGCCTGCTATGAATAATGTGATTGACACGTTCCTGGTGTTTTATTAGGACTTTGTATTCGGCCATATGTGTGGAGCTGGCCTCTCAGGGTTTCATCGTGGCATCTGTGGAGCACAGGTAACTGTACATGACGTGTTCTATCTCTATTTGATTAAAATGGCAGCGAGTTACACTGTATTAATCAGGGTTGAAGTACAGTCAGATTACAGTAATGTACATTCACCATTTAATCAGATTAGAATCTTGAGAAGTATGAACTTTATTCAAACAGAAGGCTGCTGATATTTACAGTGAAAATGTGTAATAAAGGCCGTGTAGGAGAAAATTATCGTTGAATGTCCGCCAAGCAAACAATAACAGGGCAGTCTCATCTATAAGCGGCTGTGTGTTTATCTGTGGAGTAGGAGTGGAAAGGGTGTACAGACAATAGTACGAACCAGGTCATCACATTTCTTTTCAGTATTGCGACAAGGGGATCATATGGAGATGAGCATAATGGCCACAGTTAGTCTGTCACTCATGTTGATTGAGGTGGCATTTCATTGAATTTCAGCCGCCAGTTGAAGGCTACAGCCACAGAGAGAGCATGTGGCAGCGCGGTGACCTGGTTTAAAGCTGTGACATAAGACACACATGTGGTCAGAGGTCAGTCCAGTCGCTCAGCCTGTGGTGGTTTTGTCACACTGTCAAGTTAGTCTTTGCTCCAAACCAAACTAGTCATAAAAGAAATAACTTGTTTTTTTACTATATACAGTTTCAGCAAAAGCTCTTTTGTCTGAACAAGGACACAAAGTTGGCAACTGAACTGCTCTGTGTTTGTGTGCATTGGCTATTGTGAAACACAGATGACTACACACTGACTACATTTCTTAATTCTAATTCACTAGAAACCAAATGTAACCAAAAGTTGCCACAGCTTGTTCTGATGTATGTGAGGTTTTAGGTTCATTTTTTGAATTTTTTGTTTTAATCAACGGATTTTTAGTCAAAAATATAAATATACAACTGGAACCAGACAACTTTTGGCATCTTTTCATTAAAAATAAATGGATAATCAAATCAGTTGCTTATGTTTGCCATTCTAATAATCTCACATCTTTATTTATCCTTGTGTTCAATTTCAGAACATATCAAAATCATTATTTTTGAAATACCAGCTCAAAGTAAAGGCCTCCTTTGCCTTTAAATCATTATGTTTTTGCAACATTGTCTTTTCCTGTTTCCTGCAGAGACCAATCGGCGTCGGCTACGTTTTATTTTCGAGAAGAGACGGCAAAGGACAATGTGCCTATAGCATCAGCCCGAGGCAGCTTGGTAAAGGAGTGGATGTACTACAGAGCTCTGCGGCACGGCGAGAGTGAATTCTCTCTCAGAAATAAACAGGTCAGAAGTGTTTTCACTTTATAGTAATGATTGTTAAAGAAATGTGTGATCTAATTTGGGAGGTAAAATCCAGTGATGTAGAAGAGTCAGTGTCAAAGTGGAGGTTGAGAAATAATTCCTCTTTCATGCTGTAATATTTCAGGATTAACATCAGATGGATTCCACAACATGTGAACTTTACACCCAGTGAGAAATACACATCTCATGATCAAAGCTAACCACATCCTTGTTTTTCTATTTTCTGTATCTGATCTGTCTCACACATTCCATCTATGCAACTCTCTTTACTGTTTTAACAGTGTTATTATGATGAATTTCAAAGACAAGTGCGAGTGTGGAAATATTCACTGTGCTCTTTGTCCTTTTCTTAAACTTGTGTGAATGGTTCTTGTCACTCGCAGGTGAAACAGAGAGCAGATGAATGCATTCTGGCTCTGGAGAAACTCACTGAAATCAACTCAGGGACACAAGTGCACAATGTTCTGCAGACACAGTTTGACTGGGCCACGCTGGAGGTAGGTAACCTTTCATCAACTTTGAATTTCAGGTCAAGTCTTCTCGAGGTCTTGTGTTTCAACAGACACTGCAGTCTTTTCAGTGACTAATATAACCATGATAATGCAGAAGTTTCCATTTTATTAACAGGAACTATTGACATGACAAGCAGGAATCATAGTGCAAACCAGGGACGTGCACAGACATTTTGGGGGGGGCATTGCTCTAAC